ATATATCTTGAATGTCCCATAAACTTTAGAAAGCGCATTTACTGCTATGGGAAGTACCATCTATAGGCTTCTCCACTGGTGGACATGAGAGTTGAGGAAGTGTTAAAAATTCTTTATTTAGTTGTTTGGGGTTTTTTTTTACCGGAACCTCGGAGGCGATGGAAGTTCTGCACACCAATTTCGCATTACTTTACCTTCGTGGAGGGCTCGGATTGGAATGAGGTTTAATGTTCCGTCGTTCCACTGCCATATTTACATCTGAAAATAAATCAATCCAAACGTTGAACATCACAGTGACATGGAAATCATCAGCTTATCTGTTCACGTAGAACGGAGAGGCCGCAACAACACTTTCACGATCTAAATGTTACCGAACACATCCAAGCATAAAATTCCAGACTGGACAAACGTCACATTGCAGCAAATCAACCAAATAAGTGAAACTGTAGGACATTTGAAAGAAATGCAAAATACTTTAGGTTTTGCTTTCAAATTGGATTTGGACATGGGTGGGAATGAAAGGCAGAGTTGCAAAGCAAAATAAAGGATTTTCGATATCGGCACCGCTTCACTGATGTTGCACATGTTTATTACTTTGTGGATTCACAATATACGTATATGAAATTGTACATGAAACAATTGCATTCTCCATTTTGTGGACTTTTAACAGCTTACAATTTGCCTCAAAGGTGCACTGTGTAAAATTTTAGTGATACAATTTCATATTTGACTGGGTAGAAATTAAACATGGAATAATTGTAATTGTGCCTTTGAGAGCATTCATTCACCCCACAGTAATTCTTTTCCATGAACCCACAATGAACTCTCTGGTAGTTATGAGGAGTGAGTTTTTCACTATAGACCAGACGTGGGCAAACTTTTTGACTCGTGGGTCACAATTGTCCTAAAATTGAACAGGGGGGCCGGGTCAGGAGCAGATAGATGGAGCGTTCTTGTGAACTAAGATAAATGACATGTAAAAGTCATGTACAAACGCTAAAATGCTTTTATCAATTTCTACACCATCTATTGGGGAAATGTGGGTATTGCAAGGAAAGGCAGAAGTATAATGATAAAAGTTTAGCGGGCTGGATTAAAAAGGTGAACGGGCCGCATCCAGCCCCCGGACCTTAGTTTGCCCGTGCTTGCTATAGACCAGCGTTGCCCAAACTGTTCCACAAAGGGCCGCTGTGGCTGCCAGTTTTGTTTCAACCAAGCAGTAGCACACCTGAGTTGAGAGGTTTAATCAACTGGTCTCAGTCTTCAGACAGCTGAGTGGTCAAACTATGTGCTCTTGGTTGGTTGAAACAAAACCCCGCAGCCACACGGCCCTTTGAGGAACAGTTTGGGCATGTCTGCTATAGACGCTGCCATGTTGGATTACAATTTAACTTTACCACTAGACGACCCCAGAACCTACACAGTGCACCTTTGACTAAGCACAAGGCATAGGGTTTCACCTTAACCATCATCGCCTTAAAACTGCACTACTGTTTAAAGGAAAAAATTGAATTTGTGGACTCCAATTTCCCTGATCAAAAACAAGGAGAATTGAAAATAGTTACGTTTTTTTTTTGTTGCGGTGCAGCCATAAAAGCTTTTGTTGTTTGTCACTGTTCAGCAGTGACAGTCTAGGCCCTGCTGCAACACAATCACTCATGCTGCTTTTGAGTCTTACCTATTTTATAACCTTTATATATTCGACACTTTGATGCCGCCTTTGCAGCTTCGGCTTCTTCAACATGTTCAAATTGAACAAATCCAAACCCCCGAAACAAGGAAACGCCTGGAAGAGGAACATTTTAAAATGATACAAACTTAAAATCTGTTTGGGAAAAAATTTATTTATGAAAAAACAATAAATTAATTTTACATTTTTAAATATTTTACATGCCAATATATTGAACTTATGTTGTAATGATTACTAACCGACTATTTTCCCGTATGAGGTGAACATCTCTTCCAAATCCTTTTTTCCCATGTTGGAGGTTGGCAAATTCCCAACAAATATTCTTCTTTCCATATCACGAGGATCACTACTGCTGCAGGAGCGTGAAAAACGCCCTGGCGATGGGCTCCGACTGCTTCGGTGAGACATGACTGATCCAGGTGTACGTTTCTTTTTTTGTACTTCTCAAAAGAATTAAAAAATGTTTTCTTCCAATATTAAATGTTTGAAATGTTAAAACTCCTGAAATGCCAGCAGGTGCCAGAGGGTTAAAAGAAGAGAGAAAAGATCCTTGGAGGGATAAAAAGTTCTAGTGGAGATAGTTTCGGAGGAAATCAGAGTGAGACAGAAAATGAAAATTTAATACCGTCGCAAATACTTTTCCACACCAAGAAGAGATTCTTCAAAAATTCACAAATTTCACTCGCATGGTTTTATATGCTTTGTTTCATCTGGGCTCTTTTGAGATAAACAACCGCATTAAACTAATTTTTTTTTCTTGCACAGACCAAGTTCGTTTCATCCTCAGGTAGGCTGCTTTAGAAATGTCTTTGAAAATTCACATAAAGCAGCAGTTCGTGTAAACCCGAGGGTTTCAGCACCATTCACATGATGCTTAAAATTTTTTGAAAATGAGATCAGTAGTTCCTTCAAATGCAGAACGACTTAAATTAAAATGACGAAAAACAAAATCAACAGGAGTATAAAGGTTTTTTTTTTGTGGATTTCCCTGTTACACTGTACCAGTTTTAAGATTCATTCCATATAAAACAAAAGTGCAAAGTTGTTGTTGTTTGAGAGTTTAGTAGCAATTTTAAAAATTCTGTAAAGATTCACAACTTTGCAAAAGTAATAAGAACTTTGGTAAAATAACACAGGTACTGATACCAACATTAGAGAAAAAAAATCCTAATTTTATTTAAAATTGCAGTCCATCTCTTCCTGAGTAATGCAGTCGGTGACAAACATACTGGATGTCAGTGATTACAGTGATGTTTCATAAATGCCTGAACTTATTTTAGGGCTTTTTTTTTAATATACAGGCTCTTCAGAGTCTCACATATGGACTGCAATATTAAGTTTTAAAGCTAGTATTACCAGGTTTACAATTAGTGCCTCTACAAGTTTTTTAGGCCTTACTCAAAATAATAAATTAAGGTTCAGGTTTATATACTTTAAAACTAACTTTCTCTACAGCCCTTTAATGTTCACATCATTTTGCAGTTTTAAAATTATCCTGGATTTTCTCCACCTAATAATGCTCCTAAATGTTCTCTAGAGTACCATGTGTACATGACCCATTTGTTTGTACTTCTTAACAAATTGTAGGCATTTAAGTTCTTATAAACGTGCATTATAAACTAATGCACGTCTTAGCAGTTAAAGAGCATTGATGAAGAAAACACTTACATACCTTAACTTGAACCAGATGAAGAAGGATTTGGTGTCCACTTGTTACAAGGGAACTGAAAAGACAGGAGCAAAACTTATTTCCTATACATTAACATTGTTTCACCTTTTAGAAGTGATGTTCTAATGATAAAATTGTGACTGTTTTGTTAGACTATACATAATCTGTTCAAATGAGAATGGACTAAAAATATATTTTAACATTGGCAAAACAATAGAGGGGTAAGGATGTGAGAGGCTAACCCAGGAAATAATCACAATTGCACACAACAAACTACAAAAATACAGTGTTAAAAATTGCAGTAAGGATACCTCATTTTAATGAGTTTTTGAAAGAATAAGTAGTTATATATAATACGTTTTTTTTATTTACCAAAGCTTTGTCCCAACACGGGAAACAGGAGAGTTTAACTGCGTTTACGGCACCATCAACTTGGAAGGAGTACAAGCTACATACAATATACACATGGCATGAACTGTAGAAACATCGGCGTGGATCGTATTCAGTTGACTATAGCACACACTGACTCGCCTGTTAAATACAATTACTGGTTATACCGTCAAAACATTTATGTGAGTGTATTTTCGTGTATTCTTTTTTTCACCAACGTTTTTTTCTGCTAGTTACTCGATTTGAATAACGCTTTCGCCGCCCCAATGTAGTTTAATCGAACCGTCGTTGATTCATTTGCTTGGGGGAGGGTCAAATTGTCATCTATCGACAGCGTAATTTATTTATTTTATTTACAAAACTACTACAAATTACCGGATTGTGCTCTAACATGGCGTGTAAGTAGTTGCTGTTCCACGGGACACGCAGCTTTATCGTTAGCAATATCTACTAGCTTAGCTTGAGCTGTTAGCTAACCTTCATTTTAAACCGCTGTATACATTCCTAGCTTCAGCGACTTGTACTTTTCACACAAAGGGTGTATCTTAAATTATTCACAACACTTACTCAAATTTGTATGTAGTATGTCGTCTTTCTGTTGCAACTCGCAGCGAACACTTTGTATTTGAATGGCGATTTTTCCTAGCTTGTTCTTCTTCGTTGCCTCCTTCTGCTCGTTGATTTCCTGCCGCAATAACCCTACTTCCTCTTTTTGGGCCCAACGATAAATTTGTATCCCGCCACCCAATGGTCAGAAATCAAACATGCGTCCACTCGCCTACCTAAATTTTAATAATATTTAATACATATTATTATTACTAGTGGTATTATTATTATTATTATTATTAATAATAATAATATATTATTATTATTGAATTACATAATTCTATCTTACTTTTACACGTGTTATATCTACTAATTTGTTCACATACTTTAACACTTGAAGTTAAAAACCTGCTGTTTTTTTTTTTATTTCCTAACCTTTTGCTTGTTTAACAGCCAACCCATGATGTAATGGAAATAAGTGTGTATGGACAAAATTATTCACGTGGCTTAACAATGATGAAGTTAGGTGTGTGTGTTTGTATAAAACTAGTTTGTTAAGTTTTCATGCACACAGGAATGTTGCCATGACCTAACGTGTATGGGGGCGTGGTCTTACAGGAGGCAGTACATAAAGGAAGAAACCGTCGTGAAGAAGTAAACACGGACTACAGACTGTTTCGAAGGTAAGGCTGTATACTAAAATAATCGATATTATGATACTTAATTGTGCTCTTAATTGTTTGTTAAGTTTTAACATAAAATTCATCAGAGGTTTGTCATTTGGATAGATAGATATGCTTTTATAAGGCATATTATATAAATGTTAAACATGGGCTTACAATGTTATGACGAAATGTAGATTGTACTTCCTAGATTGTACTTCATACATCAGATACATATATTCTAAATTACTTTTTATGCCACGTTGAAGTTTTTTGTTTGTTTGTTTGTTTTTTTAAGGAACATGTCCTTTATCCCATACTTCCTTCTACTTCTTTGGCCTTTACCAGCAGAAAGCATTATTTTAGTTACATTACTGACACCTAATGTTCCTTTTACACAGGGAAATGTTTAACTTAGATGGTTCAGAAACTAACTCATTAAGACAGGACATAACAAACAGTCAGAGGGCAGAATCAGGGCGGAACAATAAACCGTAATGTAAGGTGTGGATCATACGGCTATCTTAAAATGACAGAGATGATTGTTAAATTGTTATAAATTTTTTTTTGGAACTTCTCAAACTGAGGGTTTTGGGGATAGCTTTTTTGGTGAAAAATATAGTATGTCTTTTCTTCGCTGAGATGTCATTGTCCAGCAAATATGTTGTGTGTGTGTGTGTGTAGATATATATAATGATTTTAAACACTTTGTTTTTTTGTAATGGAGACTATGTCAGTTTGCACTGGAACAGTCATCCTTTTTTTCTTTGTTAATTCACTGCAATTGTTTGGTTTTTTTTTCCACAGTTGTGACCTGTCAGGCTCGTACAGCATAACCATGTGGCCAAATCCAGGTGGGAATCTCATATATTCAACATGGTCCATATTGAAATTTTAAAATTAATTACATGTGTGTGTGTATACGTGCTCATCTGTGCTGTAATGCTTACCAGGACCTCCCCTACCTATCGGAGGAATGAACCCTGCCTTCCCTCCTGGATACAACCCAGCATACCATACGAGCACTGCATATCCTGCTTTTCCTGCCAACCCTGCATACCCTCCAAACATTCATTTTCCGGGACATTCTGCACATTCTCCAGGACTTTATCCTCAGCCTCCAAATCCAGCATACCCACCTCACCAATACCCAGCTGCTATGAACCCTGCAATGTTACCAAATGGACCTCCAGGTGTGATGCCGTACGGAGCTCCCCAACCACATCTGTACCCCCCTGGTCCACATGGGTGTCCACGTATCCCTCCTCCAGGTGTTTATCCACACGGATACCCACGTTCACCAAAATGGGGTCACCACAAAGGGTATTACCACGGAGGTGCAAACACTGTATCTGGAGCAGTGGCTGGAGGGTTGACAACAATGGTGATGGGAGCTGTGACACACAAAGTCAACAAGAAGATGAGGAAGAAGATGAAGAAAGCACACAAATGGCACAAGCATGGCTACTATTGCAAGGTGGGACTGGGCTGAAAGATTATTTTACTTGCACTTAGAAAGCTTCCCATTGAATATACAGAATAAATGAGTTTTGAATCACTATCTGGGAAGGACAGTGTAAACACTGAAACATTGAGCTATATACTTATTTATAAAAGGGTAAACATTTTATAATTTAGATGTTAAACGATGTTAAACGGCTGTCAATTTTTAAAAAAATATCTGATTATGAAGATTCACAATTCGTAATGATTAATCAAGCTGAATAAAATGTCCTTATTGTTTCTTTCTGTATTTTGCTTTAAAAATTTTAGTGAAGCTGTTTCTCCGAAATTGATTAATCAGTCTTTTACCATTGTGGTATTTTAGGCTCAAAGTGCTTTGGTGAAATAACAACAATATAATGCAGTTTTGCATTTGTTAAATGATAAATGTTGCTTTATTTGGCCAAATTTATGATTTCTCTTTTTTTCCTTTTTCTTGGTGTCCTCCAGCAGCAGCAGCAGCAGCAGCGACTCAGACTGAAGTGAACTGTCGAAGAAAAAGGAATGCTTCTTAACAGTATCAGTTCTAATATTTTCTTCGACATATGTAAATACTTACTGGACCTACTGGACTAGATCTACACTGGAAAGATAAACCGAGAAATGGAGTTGAACATATGTGCATTCGTGTTCTTTTTCCTATTTACACATAAGAGTTTTTTTTAATGTTGTGTAACTGGAAATGTATGAAACAAAAATCCCCTAAAGCTCTACAAAGTACTTATTAAATATATTTAAAACAATTTAAAAATTGTAAACTGGCACCATGTTTCTGTCCTTTCAAGGTTTCAATGTTGTTTGTGTTGACCTTATGGCATTAGCATAATGCAAATAATGCACACTTTATTTTGCACCACTTCATTTGACTCAGATTTAGACAAGCCCTAACCTGAGCCCAGGAACTGGGACTCTGATAATGCTGCTGTCGTTACGACCAACTGCAGCTCTGATCTCACTGTTGTAACATGTTTGCTGGTACTTACAGCAGTGATTCTTAACCACTGCGTCGTGGCACATACTGTGAGACATCATTAGGGGAGCTGTGGAAAATTATCTGATTTCACTTAATTGTGCTGAAAATTATTATTTATTTATGGCATATAATTTTTCTTTGCTCGTCAATCCATGAAAGGCAGAACAATTAAATACTCTTCTGCTAGGTGGCGGCAGATGGCTATGAACACTAAAAAAACCAAAAAATCAGAGCTGATAAAAAAAATCTTTGTGATTATCTTTCTTCAATTCCTGCCAGTATATCAACGTTATTTTCAAATAAAAACCTGTGATTTTAGTCAATTATGAAGTCATATAAACTAGAAGATTATTATATTTCATGTCATATAGTTTTAAGAGATTTTTGTTTGATGGTGTGCATCGGGGTTTTTCCTGACGATATATGTGTCATGGCTCAAAAAAGGTTGGGAAACACTGACTTACAATAAATGTAAATATGATATATGACATAGATTAGTTTGATACAGAGCCTTAAAAAATCTCTTTTCATAATACCTAGTCACTGTTTCCTCTTTTTAGTTTTATTGGTAGCAGTAACAGCAGTTTGTTAATTGTTAAATTTGTTTTCAGTCAGGGCTGGAAATTGTCTAAATATTTTAGCTTTATTTGGAGGAAGCTTGTAACTAATATTTAGATTCTTAGAGACTCTTTAAAGATTTGTGTTGCAACACAAAATAACTAAAGCAGATGTAAATAAAATCATTGCAAAATAAGCTGAACACATGAAGGGGGAAACTGGTTTCATCTTGCACATAGAAACTATGTAACATACGAAAACTGTAAGAACACTTTCAGTGGCTTAGGTTTTATAGCAGTGTAGCACCGTCTACTTCCAACTAGGAAAGAAACTACGAATAAAATCAGTATTTAACCGGTTTTAAATAGTTAACTATTCAGGAAGTGATTTCAATACAAATAAACATTGTGATCTTAAAAGTGGGCGTGGCTTCCTGCTACATCCCCTGCTGCTGGGGCGGAGAACGCGGAAGTAAAACTCTGGCGGAGCTGAATCCTGGACTGACTTTCTAAACCCTGGTCCAAGGTACATTTCTGAGGTAAGCTGCGATTAAACGGTGCTAATATTTCCACACATTCTCCTCAATGTAATTCTAACTTCGCCACTACTCGAAAGTTAAACAGAGAAATTTTAGGACACTGCAGGTGGTTGATATAAAAACAGATCAGACCGCTACCAAAACACGATAGTATTACGTCATCATGATTTGTCACAATTTTGAGTAAGCGCAAAAAAAAGAAAAAAAAAAAGAAAAAAGAAATAAGTTGTCTATTTTTATACGTAACCCAGACTTTTATTAACAAAAAAGTTTTATGTGACATTACATGATTCCATTTTTGAAGCATAATTATATTTTTGGTCTATATGAAATAAGAATTACTTTCAGTCGATGTTTGACTTAAGTTATAGGTTTATGTTTGGTCTAGTTATATTTCAGGTAATTTTTTGGACTTTTTAAATGTTGATTAATCACTTGAAATGATTCCTTATTGATAACCGATTTATTAACCAAGAGCAATAAAATAGGAGCAATAATAACAGTTAATAGCTGTAATACTAGTTTTAGACAACACTGGTTTGAATATGCTCTTTGTTTGTTACTAACATCACTGAGAGTAGATTTTGTTGATGTTCTGCTGCAAGTCAAACATGATGTTGCACAATTCTATGTTTGAGTTTACTGCAGTATCCAATTTTTTTCCTACGTTTTCTGACACCTCTCTTCTTTCATAGCATCAATATAACAATGTGGCCAAATCAAGGTAGTACAACCTCCATGACTCACAAATTATAGTAAAAATGAAATCTGACTTTTATGCCCGATAACATGTTGCATGGACTATGTGTGTTCCTTTCACGTTTCAGGGCCACCCCCTCCTACGGGGCCACCAAACCCTGCCTATCCTCCTGGCTACAACCCTGCATATCCAGCTGGACCTCCTCCAGGAGGCTTCCCACAGCCCACAAACCCAGTGTACCCACCTGGTCAGTACCCAGCTGGGATGATGAACCCTGCTGTGGTGCCACCTCCAGGTGCGATGCCGTATGGAGCTCCAGGACTTCATCCTTACCCTGCAGCACCTGGTGGATACCCAATGGTGCCCCCTGCAGCTGGCCACCCAGGCCCGTTTCCACACTCTCCGAAAGGTCACAAAGGTCATCATCATCATGGAGGCATCGCTGGACCTTTAGCTGGAGGAATAGCAGGGATGGGAACGGGGATGGCGGGACACAAAGCCCACAAGAAGATGAAGAAGAAGATGAAGAAAGCACACAAGCATGGGCACCACAAACACGGCAAGGTGAGTTGGTGGTTTTTAGTGTTTGTAGACAACCAGTGGAATTAAATATCAAATTACATTTTTACCTTTTTCTCCGCAGTCCTCCAGCAGCAGCAGTAGCAGCAGCGACTCAGACTGAGTCAATGCAGATTACACAGAGATGACATTTCTTTAAACTTTGGCCTTAAAATGAACCATAAACACACACAAAAAAAAAAGTCATTCCACTTTCACCCACATTCTGAGAAAACAGCAGTATTATCATTTCTAGTTGGATGTACTTCTAACACTAGAAGTCTATGATATGTGAGCCTGTCGGCATCATTTCACTTTTCAGTCTTGTGTCATTGATTTCAAGAGCTTTTGTTAAGACATTCATGTTAATGTAAAATACATGGAGTTCTGTGTAAACACAGGGATTTAATAATCTGATGATCCCAATCTTAACTGATGCTGCTTTGCATTGTCTGCATTAAAATCTTTACCACTCATCCTTGTACTGGGTTTTCTGTACATGTTAACAGTTCATGCTTTAAACACACACAAGAAATTGAGGGGGGGAAAAAAGAATATGAAAGTTGTCCATGTTGGACTTTTATTTAGAAATTTATTGAGCTCAAATTTCAGTGGGTACAAGGGAATGACAAGGCTGTGAGTCACCATGTTAACAGTGTGAATTCCCGTATACCAAGTAGGAAGATATCAACAGGTCTGAAGAGCTTTGTTTTTTGTTTTTGTTCGAAATTTTCCTATCAATAGTCCACTTTTATTTTTAAAATATAAGGCCACCAGCAGTTGTCTTCCTATTTAAGGGCATGATTGCTTTTAACACCCGTCAGTAAAGTCTCTTGCATTTTGTCCTCTGTGTTGCATATACCATCGCTTTGTACAGAAACAAGAAAACAACCAGCTCACAGTACAAAAAAAAGTACGGGCCAAAAATAGTCTCTTTGTATTCTCATGATTCTTCTTTTCTCCACGGCTGAAGCCTCAGAAGTCTAACCACAGAAGACTCCAGAAGGTCGTCTCCCCTCTTCTTCTACACAGTCCTTTATTCTCCTCTAGCATCAGAAAAGTAATTCGTCCCTCGTCATGGTTACGGAGAACCAGTGGACTTCACGGTAAGTGCTTGTGGTCCTTCTCACCCCACTGTTATCCTCTCGTCGGACCGTCATCCCCACATTGTTTGTTTTTGGTGAATCCGTGATGAGAGCATAAGCAGGACAGGGTGAGAGAGAACGGTTTAGGGCACTACAGATGGAAGATGGTGTCCTGGAAGTGTAGATGTGAAGGCCACGAGGCTAAAGACCTATGGACTGTAGGGTTTGTCTCTCGACGCTGTTGAGGTGACCTGAGAACATGCTGTAACACGGCTGCTGAGCAAACTGTGTGAGGAAATCTGTCAGGTAGGCCTGCAGAGAGGAGACAGCATCAGTCACTGACCATTGGTGGTCCACAGTTGAAACTGCTGCTTCTCATTCAACTTCAGCTACAACTTTAAGTTGGAGTAAATTAAATTAAAAAAACGAGTTAACCCTCTTTTGACCTAAGGATCATTTTGACTCTAAATACTGTTCTGTTAACAAGTTCTATCAGCCTAGAAATATTTTTGTGGTAATGGTTTGACTTAAGGCACTGGTTCTCAACTCCTGGTCCGGGGACCGGTGCCGGTCCGTAGGTCATTTGGTACTGGGCCGCAATGGCACACAGAGTAGAAATGAAACGTACTTTAGTTTTACTAATTTACTTCATTCCAAAAGAATCCAGTCATATCCCTTCACTTTTTTCTAATAATCTGTCAATTTCAATCTGTTTCAAAACAACAGGCCATTCAGACTAAAAGATAATTTATTTAGAAAATTTAAGAATCCTTTAACAAAAGCGTGGTATTACCGGTCCATCCTTGATACAAAAATGGTTGGGGACCACCGACTTAAGGTGTAACACAATATACATTAAATAACAGCCAAACCAGGCAGGGTCATTTTTGACTCGGGGGGATGTGATGTGTGTGGCGATGGAGTGGACGTCATAAAGGTAAAGCCGGAGATTTTAAACTTATTTTTAAAGGTCTAAAACTAATGATAATTTAAGGTCAGAGGTCAAGAGTATAATAACATTTGATTAACTCACTTTTTCCACCCATGTAACATTTTTACATGTTTAAGTAACAAACAAATTAAATGTCCATTCAAAATGAAGGAAATTTTTATTTTTTGTTCATTCTTCTTTAAAATTCTGTTTTAATGGTCGGCGTTTCTGTGAGTTATTCAACAGTGACGTCTTTAGAAGTCACATATTATATACTTATATTATGTGTTTCTTCATCAACTTTATTAAACAGTTGTGTTTTACATTCAGACAACAGGGAAGAAACGAAGAGATTAAAAGCCATTACCTGTAAATCGATCTGATAAATGGGGTCTTTCAAAGCGTCTGGATCGTCTTCGTCATCGTCCTCGTAATAATCGTCATCTGTTAAAAACAGTTCAAACTTCCTCTAGACACTTTTGCCTTTTTTACCTGAGGATGTTATGACAAGATTTTCAGTATGAGCTGCTGCACAAAAGAAGACATCTTCTTACCATATTTGTTCGAGGCGATGAGATCAGACAGCAGCTGCCCTGCCAGGCCTTCGTCGTCCTCGTCGTCATCCTGTCCGTCCTCCTCGTGGTCCTCCCACATACCGGTGGAGTCTTAAACAAAAAGTGGTCAACGTCACTCTCATTCTTCAGGATGCAGTTGATACTGGTACTAGCATTTGATCTACTGTGGTCAGTAACAATCACCTTGGCTCCAGTCTGCCGCGTGTTCTCTGCTGGCGTTGGCCTCCACGACCGTTGACAGTTCATTGATGATGAGTTTGAAGATCTTCACCAGCAAAGGAATGTTGGTCCACCGCTCTGGGTCTGCGCAGGATAAATATGCTGTTAGACTATTTTACCTTCCCACATATTTACTTATTTACTGTACTTACTTTTGGCAGACTTTGACCGCGTACGGATGCCGTCCTCAGGGCTGTAGATCTCCTCTCCTTTAACCACGATGTCTTGGAGACGTTTGTCATCAGTGTTGAGGCTGTGCTGCAGCAGTTTGCACAGCGCCACCGTGCTGCAGGAATACAAATCCACACAGAATTACATATGTTGCAACGTGCAAAGGAAGAAAGTGATGTTCTTAGGCTTAACAATACTGACTAAAAATATAGGGATGTAACGATAACCTCAACTTTTTGTTCTTTTTTTTTAACAAATGAGCTTCAGACAAATTATAACCAAATACAATGATCCTGAATTTGAATGAACTATGCAAAATACCTTTACCAACAGAAATGGTCTCGTCTGCCTCATAAACAGAAATTGTTATCTTAGATAACACAAGACTTTAAAAACATATTTCTTTACAGGAAACTGCACACCACCGTTTATCTCTTCCTATTAAAATTTAAGCTGGTCTGGTCTGATTTACCTCACTCATATAAAACAACAAAAGGATATAAAAATGTTTTTTTCTTTAGAGAAACTATGTAAAACACTGTTTGTGTCTGTGTCACGTTCTGTTTGAACACCTAAACATGACGTGGGCTTTGTAGGGACCTGACATTTTTAGGGGTACTCCTACAGTACTTGAGTGTGTAGACAGAACTGTCCTCTGACCTGACTTTTCCCTCATACTGTCCATAGAACAGGTGCTGTCTGCTCATCCACTCCGTCATGACAAACTCCAGGGCAGGTTTCCCCGTGGGTCCAGGCAGACTGCACAGAAACTCCAGCAGGGGCTCCAGCTGAGAGTGGACCAGGTGAGCAAACACCATGATCAAGGACTATGGAGGGAAAGACAGGAACATGAGTGATGTCCACACAATCAGGTGCCTTTAGTTTGGGTGCCCCCCCACCCCTCCTCATCACCTGCATGACACTCAGCGTCTCAGCTTGTTGCATCTTGCTAAGAATCGCTCGGAGGATTTGGTCCAGCTGTTCGCCTAGCTCCGTCCCTGCCCGGGAGATCAGGGTGGACACCAACCTGCCCACGAAGGCTGCCGTGAACTCTGAGGTACGGGGGTCCAGCAGCTGGTTGACCACCTGCATGACGTACCAGAGGCCGGTATTCCCTTGCTCGTCCCTCCACTGAGCGATCTGCTCCAGAGAGACCGAGATGTACGCCCGCAGACACTCGCCACCGTTCTGGAGAGAGAAGAGGAGTTTGATGAATTTGACTTCTTACAGGATTTTTTGGCCTCTAATTTTTTTTATCTTAGTTAATTCTTAGATCTCAGATTGATTTACCTGCATGATGGTGTTGTCGTCCGTGCGGATGGTGCACTGGGCCACCACAGGGAATGCCTGACACACCAGCATCTCAGACAGAGGGGGTTTGGTGTTTCGTACGACTGTGGTCAGGATGTCGATGGATGTCTACCACACACGGGGAGGAGGGATTACTTACATTTCTGGAAAACTTGTGATTATGTTACAACGCAGCACAGAAACATTTTTAAAATTCACATTTTAGAAACCTATGGATTAGAGGAGTCAAACTCCAGGCTCAGGGGCCACTTCTGGCCTGCGAGCTCCCCTCATCTGGCCTGGGACTAAATATCATCAAAAATAATTTAATTTTGGCCCCAACAGTTTTTTGTTAATTTAATTTAAGTAAATGTTTTGGTAATTTAAGAATTGGATTTTACAATTTTTAAATTACCAAAACATTTACTTAAATTTAATTATAATTTAATTTACAAATACTTGCTGTTGTTTGGGTATTTATATTGAATAAAAACTGTTTTTTTTTTTCAAAATATATATATATATTTTTAACATCATTTGAACAGTTTGACACCCCAGCTAAGATCTACAACGATGTGTTTAGCACTAGTCTTATCTTACAGCACAGAGTCCCGAGGGGATCTTGTCGGGGGGAGCCTGCATGATGCTGACGAGCGTGGGGATGAGACGCATCTGCATGGGGCCCTGGCATCCTTCAATCTGGGCCAGTTCCTTGAAGATGTCCTGGGCCAGAGAAGCCACCACAGGGTCTGAGGAGGCAAAGTAAAGGATACGGTGGATGAGTACTTTTTTTGTCCATGTGCAGTAATAGCCATGAGCCCACTGACACAGGTAAAGGAAGTAGTGGATGTATGCAAATACCGTTGTTATATTTAAGAAAAATGGCAATAGTCAGAGGGCAGATCTTGTTCTCGGCGCTGGTGGTAAAGGCTGGGTCCACGGTGCAAACAATGCACAGCGTCTCCATGACCAGAGTCAGCACCTCTGAGCTGAACTGGGCGGCCAGTTGGACCAGTCCCTCTAAGATGCTGGGGAGGAAGGGCTGCAGGACGTGTGTGCTGTCTGAGAGCTTGAGCTGATCACAGTAGCTGCAGGTGTAAAAACACAGGGCCATGATCAGCTGATCCGTTAAACATCAATGTTTAACAATGTTAAATGTAACATAAATCACGAGCTAAAAACACAACACTGCAGTTCGACAACTAAAGTCATGACGACGCTGATGCCTCACCCCCAGATGGCCCTGACGGCAGAAATGCGGACAGAGGGCGGCTGGCTGTCATGGAGTCCACTGACCGTGGCCTGGAGGAATTGTTGGATGAGCTCTGGGGACATGGCTGCTGTAAAACGACTGGCCGCCCACAGAGCCCGACCCAAGAGGAACGGAGAAGCAGCTGAGAAAAGGACAAACAGTTCTTGTTTCAGTTTTGGCAACTTCCCTAACAAGTACAATAATAGCTTTGAAAGCAAAACATTTTAATTGCAAAGTGACTGCACATTTTTCGTCGGTTCTAAATGTACCTTAGGTTCATAGAGCCCTTAGAAACTTGGGAGTGGCCAAATATATTTGCACAATAAAAGAGCATTTAATTTTGTAGAGCTCCTCATCTTTTCCAGTCAAACTGCAGTGGTGTACTTTATTACTGTGAGATTTTTCTCCACCTTTTATCAATAGAAAATCTGTTCATGAGATTTTTCTCCACCTTTTATCAATAAAAAATCTGTTCAAAAATGTTCAGGGTTTAAATAAAACCTCACCTGTCAGATTGAGATCAGCCAGGATAACACTGGCCAGGAAGCCGTGCATATCAAACTGGATACGACCGTTCTTTACATTCTCAGTGATGATGGTTTTGACTGAACCCAGAGCCAACATGCAGGCCTCGTGGATCTTCCACCTGGGCCCACCAGGCAAAAAAAAAAAAGAACCTGTTGTAGTCACCAACAACAGAAAATCTGACCAGTGACAAACCAGTGTGTGTCCTCACCAGTGTTCATTCCCACTGTTTTTGGCCTGCTCTGCTTCCTGTAGATGCCTGGTTGCTGCTGCTGCCAACGCTGCTGCGCTTTCATTCTGAAACTCTGCTGCAACGGCCTGTGAGCAGAGGTCAGAGGTCAAGCTTGATGTTAACTTGGTGTTCAGCATTCAGTCAATTTCGCTAAACACAGCTCATGTCGCTAACGGTCCTTTAAAAGCTCCTTTAGTAAGTCACAACAGTGAGATGTGCCTGTGATCCTTATCTGAGATTGAGACCAAGTAATTACATCTCTATCCTGTACAAGCGTAACTTGTAAGATCAGCTGGCAGATATATGTATTACAATAATTAAGTGCAAATCATTTTATAAACAGTATTTCTAGATTTTCTTTACATAATATTTTACATATATTCCAATTCCAGTATTCAAATATATTGATTTTTGAGTCATAAAAATTGATTAAATAAAAGCTAACAGTGATAAATGTTTCTGTTGGAGGGAACTGAGACATGTTATTAAAATCTGATATTTTGGGGCGATATAGCATCAGTCTAAACTTTTTCCCAAAGTCAACAAAAACAAAAAGTTTAAAAAAAGGAAAACAGTAGTGATCTGACCAGTAACAGGTCCTGGGCAGAAATCCTGACAGAGTAGGAGAACGTGTCGTCGTCCTCGTCCTCCACAAACTGCTGAGGGTTGGCAGTCCACACTTTACCCTGAGGGGGACAGCAGTGACCACAGCGTCAGTCTGAGTCAACAGAAATACTCTTTACTGTGGTCATAGCCTCACCTGGTCTTCAGTGATCTGCATGTACAGGATGATGTAGTAGATGAGCTCAGGCAGAGCCTTCTTCACTGTGCTCTTGAACTTGTTGTTTTCCAGCAGAGTGTGAACAAACTCGAAAATGCTGAAGACGAGATTTTCAAAACCCAGAACTTCGCCTGTTGAAAAAGCAGAAAAATAATCCAGTAAAATAGACTGAAATTCATAAAGGGCTGTTACAAAAGGTTAGAGGCAGCTGTGAGAGGAAAAAACAAATAAATAAATAAGAAAAATAATCACCATCAGAGTCTACAGGATCGTCCACCTCCTCTGTATAGTTGACCTCCGTTCTTACATAAGTGCACATGTGGTTAAGGTTTAAACTCAGAGTCAAACAAAGAAAAGAACAATCTGGGTTCCCACAAACTGGCAACCGAAGTGACGTGAGAATTTGATTGGCTGGATGCGTCACGTGGGACACTGAGTTAAATTACAGTTAGTATTAAAAGAGATGTGCGTGATTTTTAACCGGTTTGTTTTTTTCTCCAAACAGAAAGACGCAGGGAGAAGAAATACCTTTTCAGGACATTACTTAAAGTTAGGCATGCACCGAAATTAAAATTCTTGGCCAAAAACCGAAACACCAAAAGAAAATATTATGCCAATTATTAGTACCATTGCATTTACGGCTATGGCTGTGAACTAAACCTCAATAAAATCAAGGCAATTGCGTGAATTAATATTAATGTTTCAAAGAATAAAACAATTACGGAAATATTTATTTAGCACATTCCAACAATGCACAATATAAAATAAGATAAAATTCAACTTGAAACTTGACCTCAATTATGTGTACATTAACTTATAATGTACAGGCCTGCTAAAAGATTGTTAAATTAAATATGTTCTCTCATAAAAACACAAAGTACATTTAAGTCAATTGCTGGATCATTTCTCATGCGCGCTGCTTTATTCCCGCATCCAAGTAATGATCTTTATAATGCGTATCAAGTAGTGAGAAAGTAGGATCTGAATAAATAGACCTCTGTGCTGCTCAAACAGGGCAAGAAGAGAGAGAATGTTGTAGTGATCGGGATGTTCGCCTTTCAGGTGATAAATTAAACCCGACGTGGAGAAATTCTTTGTCACAAAATTTCAGCATTACACGTTTTGCAAATCGCTATCCGTGGGTCTTTCTCGCATATGTAGGTAGATACAAAACGTGGGAATTTTGTTGAGCCACAAACTCTGTAAAGGATATAAAGCTGCACTTTCAGTCAGCGTGTTCCATACAATGGGTAATATCTGCTGCATAGAGGACACCATGGGTTTGGGGAAGTTCTTCACCAACGCTGTCACTGCCTGTGACAGAAGAGAAACTCGGCCGTGAGGACTCTAGACATCATTAGATCGCTCTAACAATGGACCTGGCTCTCGATGATTTCTGAATTGTTCAGCTGAATTTAATGATGTCGGGGTTGAAAAACCTCATTAAACAGACTTTTCACAAAGATGTAACAACAAAACTAGTCAAAGCTGTAGGAGACATGTTAAATTATTTTAGATGTTACAGCAGATATATTTAAAAATAAAACTTGTTTTGGAACTTTTCGACAAATAGACAATAGATAAATAGATAGAAATTAAGTTGGGTTTTTTTTCAGATTAATAAGTAGATAGACTTGTCATTAAGTTGATAAAACAATGTTTTTTAACACATCAACAACTGGTGAAAGTGTCTGCTTTAATAAAGATAAAAAAAGGTTCCTCTCACCTTGAGAACTTCCATTTTAAGACCACTGTCAGATGTGGGTCCATCAGGCATCTGCAGAGCCTGCACAAAGGCTTCTGTGAACTGCTGCACCACAGGGAAGATCAAGGCTTTGGCTGCGCCCTGAACACGGACACACACACAGACTGTGTTAGTCTCTGTAAACTTGTTTCATATCACAAAACAAATCAACTCACTGGAGTGACTCACCTTCTCTAACTCTTCAATGGCACAGATGAGGTTGGCACACGTGGTGAAAATCTCCACAGCTCTGGAGCGGGTACGAATGCCGTAGACCTGGGTCAGTTGGAGGGTGTTAGTAGAAGTCATCTACAGTGAAACTTTTGTGACATGAATTCACTGCAGCTGTTCTAACACATTCAGGTTGATACTTTGAGTGACATTTTTTGCTAAACAGTCACTAAGTCGCAAACTAAGGCCCGGGGGCCGGATGCGTCCCGTTCAGCTTTTTAATCCGGCCTGCCAAACCTTTCCAAATTATATCATTTATTTATATTATTATTATACCTTTCCCCGCAATACCCATGCTTCCCCAAAAGATGGTGCAAAAAATGCTAAAAGCATTTTAGCATTTATGCATGACTTTTACATGTGATTTATCATAGTTCTCATAGTTATCTATGTGCTCCAACCAGGAAGTTTGCCCACACCTAGTTTAGAACATAGCTGGTAAACAGGTGTGTCATGAATCCAGCCGTGCTCAATCCTACAGTTTGTTTGACCAAACACTGTCACTACCAACCGCCAGGGAAACACATGTCCCTTTTAAAAGATTCCGTTTGAGCCGTGTACAAGCATCAGATGATCTAGTATTTTAGAAGTACAGCTAGCTCCTTCTGAGGTGCCCTGCTCAAAAACAGATCAGTCAGACCATAATACCCAGAATCTCAAGTTCAACTAATCAGACCAAATGGCTGCAGCAGTACCTCAGCCATGGTGAAGATCTTGTACATTTCAGGCAGAATGACAGGGGCCACCAGAGGCATCTGAGTATCCGTCACCTCTCGGGTAAACTCTGGGAATGATGATCCAAAACAAACAGACGAACAAAAAAGTCAGGAACTAATCACATCAATATCTATTTAAACGATATCAACACTTAAAAACCTACCTACCTAATTACGAAAGATGGTTATTAAACAGCAAATCAACAAAACACTTAGTAGTAAAAAACAGGAAATTAGCATGATGGCTGCATTTTCTTACTTAATAACATGACCTTATTAAACAGCAAATCAACAAAACACTTCTCTCACACAAAGTAGAGAATTAACATGATGGCTGCATTTACTTACTTAATAACATGACCATATTATATTAAGGACTTGAAGAAAATAACATGTTTTGCAAATCATCAAGTGACTTTCAGTGAATATTTTCTCAATATGATAATTCCAGATGCTTTAAATCCTAAATTTAAGCCATTTTCATCTTGAAAATATGTCAGCAAACTTCAAGTATAAAATCACTTTTTTATGTGTATGTGGTTACATACCAGTGAGGACCCTCATGGCCCCGTGCACAGCGCTGATATCACCACTGACCAGCATTTCCATAAGCAGCGTAAAGAGCTGCGGCCAAGCCTCAGGCCAGTCCCAGTGGGCGATGGCTGAAACGGCGTAAGCTACGCTGGAGCGGACTTTGCTAATGGACTCCCTGAGACCCCCCGGTAGCAGCTCCCTGATAGCAGCTTTCGCCTAGAGGGGGACAAACGGTTTTGGACACGACAGAGATGTAAACTCCTGTGTTTTGTGCGATAAGACCAAACGAACGTAAACAACATTCTGCCACCGAAGAGTGGGAGTTTTTACCTGATCTGTGGTTTCAGGAGACCGGAATTTCTCTGACTGGGAACACCAGTGTGTCTCCACATACTGCTTCAGAATAACAGAAGCCAACTGCAAAACACACACAATCCATCGGTCAGCTGTGATAATGAGGCTTCAAAGTTTAGATTGTTGAAATATATAGATATCTGACTCAAAGGTGACTAAAAATGATCATCACTGACACAGTAGTTATTTCCTGCTCACCTGACGGATGGCAAGTGCTCCCTGAGGATCGACCGTGAGTTCTGCCAGGTGGACGCCAAATTCTATAACGTCAACAGAAGAGAGAGAGAGTGAGAACTTAATATTGATTAATAATCAAATGAATGTGGTTGGGCACATTAAAGGGAACACCTTATCCTTTAATGATGACTTAAAAGCCAGTCAGTAGCATTGAACCGTCAGAGCGTGTGAAGGAGTAAACATCTTTCAACATCCTTTTTCAGCTCTAATTTACACAGGCAGCTACTTATAACCCAATAGGACATCACAGCCTCATCGCTGGCAGCAGGAGCAGATCTTGATCATGTGATTACCCCGTGATTAGTAAAACTTGGCATTTTCTCTACTTATTATACAGTACTACTACAGCAAGGTGGTCGGTGCCAAATAAAAAACGAAATTTGTTACGCAGCCCTTGATGGGACTGGATTGTGGTGAAACCTTAGTGTAGTAGCTGACATGTAGGTATGGCCACTGAAATCGAACATTTAATACAAATGTGAAAAATATTGAAATTGAAACTAAAATTTGCCTGCCCCCACACTCCCATAAAACAGCACCCCCGACCCCACTTAGAGAACCACTGCCACTAGCATTGTATCAATGAGCAGCCAGGCCTGGTCCAACTCTGAGATGCAAGCAGATTGGATATCACTACTTTATCAGAACAACTATTAAAATTGTAGTACAACTATGAAAAAGGTCACGAGGTCAGTGGAAGACGCTCTGCCGCTTCTGAAGAATCAGGGATTTACTCTACTCAACTTTTCTGAATAATACCACATCATTATAATGATAATAAAGACACTGTCAGCTTAATTTCAGCCCACTATGAAATCAGTTTTTGTGTAAATAAAAAGGCAGGTAACTAAAGCTGGTACCTGTCCCAACTGTCACTAAAACGTGTTTAAAACGCTTAATTCAGACAGATTCAATTTACTAACTGTATGACAAAAGACAACACAAAGCCCTGGATCAGCTGGGGTTTAGCAAAGAGTGACATCGGGAGCCAGAAGACAATGTTAATGCTGACGGTCCGACGGCTGCCACAGAGAGGCCAGCAGACAGGGTAAGGCCACATTGCAGCAATATTAATGGGGTTTTGCAGAAACCTAGTGCAGCAGTTCGCCCAATGTAGCCAATGGAAACATGAGCTGAGGTCCACGGATCAGCTTGTTGATCATAAACGTCCGTGTTGATTCAATGATGAAAATAATCAAAACTGTGATGGTATGGTACAACAATTTCACTTCTGTGAAGATTCAATTAAAGAGGCTTATATTGGAATTTAAGACATGTATACTAATGCAATATTATCTCCAATAATTCTAGAAAAAGTATAAGTAGCAAAAGTAGATGGAGGAGACCACAGCTGTTTAATTATTTGTATGAGAGATTCACCAAAAAATACTAATGAAATGGCAACAGTTGCTTTATATGAGACAAAACAAGACAACATCCAACCAAACTATGGTTAATTTATACGTATATGTGTATAAATATATATACTCTATATATGCACAGAAAGAACATTCTAACTTCATACACACAAAAATCACACTGTGGTTCATTTCATTTCACTTGACAATGATGTCAATGAGTCATCTGTTGAGGTTGGATTATGTTGATCATCAAATCACAGAACGTGTGATCGTCAGACACGTGAGTATAAACTTCTGGAGGGGGGAATCTTCGCGGGAAAAACTGTCATCGGACATTCCGCGGTTGCCATGGCGATCGTGGCAAAAATAAGTTGAATAAAGGTTTGGGGTGTGACGTCATCCAGAGACCCACAGCGGGTACTTTTATTATGTGGTTCCATCAAACGGTTCGAATGGATGGCTATTCCAGCTGTCACAGTGATGTCATGGAAACGAATCGGAGCAAAACTACAAGTTTGATGCATTTACTGTTGTGTTTTTTTTTAAACTCTTTGGATTCTATATAAAATGATGACGAAACAGTGGATCAACAACTATTGGTAGATATTTGTTGAGCCACTGATCCATTTTCATAAAGAGACAGAAACATAGCAGTGGTCTCCTCCCTGCTGCGGTGCTGTTGAGGCCACACATGTGCTTCCCTGGACCCTCTCTTCCCTTCTCTCTGGCTAATGATTCATACCCGACACACTGTTAGTAGTGCCTCTCGTGGTTTGATTAGGACCTGTCCCAAAGATAAAGTCACCGTCAGGGTAAAAGTCAGCTGTAGGTTTCCATCAAATTCCCTGAAAACTTAGTCAACAATAAGTTGGAGGATAAAGGCCTAAGGTTAGCTCCACTTATCTCGCTAATGTTGACTTCAGACGTTAGCCTTAAGTCACACATACGATCTAAATTAGCACTGGCTAAAGACCCGGACAGCTGTCAGCGCAGAGCCGGAGCAAAGTGGTCAGGGAGCTGCTGTTTACCGACCGCACACACTCACCTTCCGTCACCTCCAGCACTTTTATCTGCTCCTCTGCCGCGGCGCGAACTTCTTGAACCGGGGACAGAATGGCCGTTAGCGTCTCGATCAAAGCCTCCTTCCGTCCCCGCTGAACCGGGCCCGACCCCGCGCCGGGTCGCGCCCCCCCGGCCACACTCATGCCTGCGATGTATCCACCCGCAGCCGCTTCAGAGACGGTCAGTGTCCTCCTCCAGCAGCAGCAGCTATAGCAGGAGAAGCAGGACTAGGAGCCGGGGAGAAGCAGCAGGGAGCGGAGGCGAATCGCGCCAATGCATGGAAAGACGGAGGCGGGGTTTAGCTGCAGGAAGTACACGCTGCTGCCTCTTGTTCTACGGTCTATAATAATATATTTCAGGCACACTCCTGCCAACTACTGGATTTGACGGGTAAAGAACATATTAGCTCTACACTGTTCCACAGTAGCACGACCGCGTTGGACAGAATGGAGGACGAGATGACGT